CCGGATGCTCGACGGGATGAAGCCGTGGAAATCGCTTGGGGAAACTTCGCGGGGAGGGAGCGAGACCGGATGCTCGACGGGATGAAGCCGTGGAAATAGCTTGGGGAAACTTCGCTGGGAGGGAGCGAGACCGGATGCTCGACGGGATGAAGCCGTGGAAATAGCTTGGGGAAACTGCGCTGGGAGGGAGCGAGACCGGATGCTCGACGGGATGAAGCCGTGGAAATAGCTGGGGGAAACTTCGCTGGGAGGGAGCGAGACCGGATGCTCGACGGGATGAAGCCATGGAAATCGCTTGGGGAAACTTCGCTGGGAGGGAGCGAGACCGGATGCTCGACGGGATGAAGCCGTGGAAATATAGAAATTTCGCTGGGATGGAGCGAGACCGGATGCTGGACGGGATGAAGCCGTGGAAATAGCTTGGGGAAACTTCGCTGGGAGGGAGCGAGACCGGATGCTCGGCGGTATGAAGCCGTGGAAATAGCTTGGGGAAACTTCGCTGGGAGGGAACGAGACCGGATGCTCGACGGGATGAAGCCGTGGAAATAGCTTGGGGAAACTTCGCTGGGAAGGAGCGAGACCCGATGCTGGACGGGATGAAGCCGTGGAAATAGCTTGGGGAAACTTCGCTGGGAGGGAGCGAGACCGGATGCTCGACGGGATGAAGCCGTGGAAATAGCTTGGGGAAACTGCGCTGGGAGGAAGCGAGACCGGATGCTGGACGGGATGAAGCCGTGGAAATAGCTTGGGGAAACTTCGCTGGGAAGGAGCGAGACTGGATGCTGGACGGGATGAAGCCGTGGAAATAGCTTGGGGAAACTTCGCTGGGAGGGAGCGAGACCGGATGCTCGACGGGATGAAGCCGTGGAAATCGCTTGGGGAAACTTCGCTGCATGGGAGGGAGCGAGACCGGATGCTGGACGGGATGAAGCCGTGGAAATAGCTTGGGGAAACTTCGCTGGGAGGGAGCGAGACCGGATGCTGGACGGGATGAAGCCGTGGAAAGAGCTTGGGGAAACTGCGCTGGGAGGGAGCGAGACCGGATGCTGGACGGGATGAAGCCGTGGAAATAGCTTGGGGAAACTTCGCTGGGAGGGAGCGAGACCGGATGCTCGACGGAATGAAGCCGTGGAAATCGCTTGGGGAAACTGCACTGGGAGGGAGCGAGACCGGATGCTCGACGGGATGAAGCCGTGGAAATAGCTTGGGGAAATAGCTTGGGGAAACTTCGCTGGGAGGGAGCGAGACCGGATGCTCGACTGGATGAAGCCGTGGAAATAGCTTGGGGAAACTGCGCTGGGAGGGAGCGAGACCGGATGCTCGACGGGATGAAGCCGTGGAAATAGCTTGGGGAAATAGCTTGGGGAAACTTCGCTGGGACGGAGCGAGACCGGATGCTCGACGGGATGAAGCCGTGGAAATAGCTTGGGAAAACTGCGCTGGGAGGGAGCGAGACCGGATGCTCGACGGGATGAAGCCGTGGAAATAGCTTGGGGAAACTTCGCTGGGAGGGAGCGAGACCGGATGCTCGACGGGATGAAGCCGTGGAAATCGCTTGGGGAAACTTCGCTGGGAGGGAGCGAGACCGGATGCTGGACGGGATGAAGCCGTGGAAATAATAGCTTGGGGAAACTTCGCTGGGAGGGAGCGAGACCGGATGCTGGACGGGATGAAGCCGTGGAAATAGCTTGGGGAAACTGCGCTGGGAAGGAGCGAGACCGGATTCTGGACGGGATGTAGCCGTGGAAATAGCTTGGGGAAACTTCGCTGGGAGGGAGCGAGACCGGATGCTGGACGGGATGAAGCCGTGGAAATAGCTTGGGGAAACTTCGCTGGTAGGGAGCGAGACCGGATGCTCGACGGGATGAAGCCGTGGAAATAGCTTGGGGAAACTGCGCTGGGAGGGAGCGAGACCGGATGCTCGACGGGATGAAGCCGTGGAAATAGCTTGGGGAAATTTCGCTGGGAGGGAGCGAGACCGGATGCTGGACGGGATGAAGCCGTGGAAATAGCTTGGGGAAACTTCGCTGGGAGGGAGCGAGACCGGATGCTCGACGGGATGCCCTATAGGTCAGGCAAGGTTATTTGGAGCAAAATAGGTAACTCTAAAAAAATTACCTTTTTGAAGATAATTTTGGTCGATTTTTTTTAACTATTAGTTAAAAAAAATACCTTTGAAGGTAATTATTGAGAACCTTTTTCAAGGTAATTTTTAAGGGTTATGTTTTTTCACTTCGTTTTTACATATATATATATTTATTTATGTTCTTTTGTTATATGGTATGTGTCTGATGTTCTCTTGGGGTTACTATATACGTGCTGCTGACATATGTGCATGGGTTTATTTCATGTATTTTGACAGGGTCTCATGTTTTTCCCTTGGCACTTGGATTGGATCAAATGATTTGATCATGGGTAGTGTTTGTGTCACTGACAAAATTTATGAAACAACAGCATGGCAAAAATGAGGAAAAGTCAGAAAAGGCATGAAACAAGATTATGGCAATAATGAACCAGTCATACTTGGCCATGAAGCATTGTCCAAGCATGCATTCTGTCTTTGAAAGCTCAGTGAGGGCATCCTTCAAAGTATCATTGAGTTTTTGGTCTTTCTTGTCTCTACCCAGTCGCTCCTGAACCACTTTGGTTTCTTTGATGTCATGCTGCACACTTGCCCAGCTCAGTTTAACAGGAGCATCAGAAATCGCTTTTGGCAATGCTGAGGATGAAGTAACCACAGCTGGTGTAGAGGAAGCACTGCTACCACTACCACAACCACCACTACCACCACAACTAGCTCCAGTGCCAAGCTGGCTCCAGGGCCTGCTCGACATGAATTGACTCATCTGCGAATAACTCATCCTTGGTGATGTTGGCTTGGCCACCATGCAAGACCATGGAACTGCCCTGCTTCTTCTCAATGGCTGTGGCCATTGTCCTGACATGATAGTAACCATCTTTCTGATAGACATCACCTCGTCTTTCTGCTCATTCAAAGCTTGCTGGTTTCCCTGGATTTTGTCCACAACCAAAGCCAACCCAGTAATCTGAGATTTGTTGCAAATCTCAGAGTTCTTCTTGAAAACTTCGAACACTGGGTATTTCCAGGAGCA